CAGAGCCTGATGCGGGGCTTCAACTCACGGAGTGCGAGATCATGACCTGAGCCGAAGTCGGAGGCTCAACTGACTGAGCCACCCAGGCGCCCCTGGTGTAGACATTTAAACCAAGCTTTTTTTTTTTCTTAAAGTTCATTTATTTATTTATTTTGAGAGAGAGCACACAAGTGAGCATGAGCAGAACAGGAGCACAGAGAGAGAGAGAGAGAGAGAGAGAGAGAGAACCCCAAGCAGGTCCCACACTGTCATGCAGAGCCGGATGTGGGGCTTGAACTCATCAGCCGTGAGATCATGACCTAAGCTGAAGTTGGATGCTTAACCGACTAGCGACCCAGGTGCCCCTAAACCAAGCTTTTGAATGCAAACTGTTAATAGTTCTTCACCTAAGGGTTTCTTATTTTTAGGCATGGGGACAAGGTTGGAAAATGGCAGCCCTAGAGTTTACTTAGTCTATACTTTTTTAAAAATTTTATTTTAAAATTCGATTTTAAATTTCTTCAGGGACTCTGGTTTCCAGCCACATGTGACCTGCCTGGGCCGGAACTTGTCGCTCCACCCAAACCTCAGGAGATGTTCTATGTCTTTTCTGAAGGGAAGGGAGAAGTGAATGCTGTTTTCTGAGTTGAAAAGATTAGAGCTATATTGTCTTTAGGACTCTATGAAATAAATTCTAAAACCAGACCAGATTTAACCGCTCTTACCCAGAATAAACCGTTCTCCCCCCTTTCCAAGAACAAATGAGCCACTTCCTATTAATTTAAAAGCCCAGAAAGGCTCATAACTGAAGCTGACGTCGCCCTGGGAGAACACGTAGAGAAGGCAGTAGCTTCCTTTTTCCTTTCAAAGGTTGCTTTATCAGCTTCCTTAAATATTGCTTCCACGGGTTTACAGCAGCGACCGGTCAGCTCGATTGGGGGCTCTTTATTTTGCCTACAACACTGAATGGCTGGGCGGATGCAATACCGTCGAGGTCTTCCGGCAGAAAGAGCTCTTAGAGGGCGTGAGCCTGGTAACCCTGCAGCACCCCACAACAAATCCCACTTGAGAAGGTGGTGCAAAGAAATCTAAACCCCAGATTCACGTTCTCGCTCATCAGTTTGCACGTGGGGATCGGTGGCAGAAGAGAGCCAGTGCGCAACTGCCAATCCCGGACTGCAGACTCGGGGGCAGAAGATTTAGCCTTTCTGTCCACGGAAACTCTTTCCCTAATGTAAATTAATTTCCCCAAGTTTGCCTTCGCCCTGGCCGAGGGGCGTGTCCGGGCCGGTAACCCTGGGGTGGCTCGGTAAATGCTCCTGAAGTGCCTGCCTTTGGAAAGGCGCTCGCTCGTGGCGCGCACGCTCGTGCCCCAGCCGGAGACCAAGTGGTGGAAACTAGGGCTTTGGTTTTAGCCACCGAAAAGCGAGAGGGACCAGACGGTTGGAGGCTCCACCCCCGGGGATGCTGGAGGGGCTGCGTTGTTCCCTGCGCCTGGCCCTGGCGCTGGGCCCCAGGCGGCGGCAGCCCGCGCCGCGCAGTCGGTGCGCTGGAGCTTGGTCACGCCGCCGGCTTTCGCGTCCAGCCGCGCGCTGCGTGCGGCCGCAGCTCTCCGCAGCCCCGCGCCCCCGGGGACTCCCCATGGCCAGCCCAACCCGCGCCGCTGCGGCCTTCGCCCGCCAGGTACCCGAACCCAGACGTTTGCGGAAGGGGGGCGGATTGCACCGGCGTCTCCGAAGCCTGCCGGCCTGGTCGGGCGCATCGCTGTCGTTTCCTGCACTATCCTGCTTCGCCGCACACCGCCGTTCCGTCTCCACCCAGGCGTTTCCTCTCTCCCCAATCCTAACCGAAATCTAGAGCCCCAGCCAGCGAACTCCGCCTTGGAGAGGCCCCCGCCGGCCAGGTCTAATGCCCAGCCGCTGACGTGCTCCGGAGCGCGGCGTGGACAGCCACCGGGGATGTGAGGGTCGCCATGGAAGCTGCTTTGGGGGAGGAGGGGGAAGCGGAATTTCTGGGCTGCCAGAACTGACAACCACATCCTGCGTTCCTTTGCCACCCCAAAATATTTTGACCGCAGCCTTCTGCCTTCTTGGATTCCACCCCCCCACCTTCCCCCCCCCCCATCTCTTATGTAGCTATTTAGCAGATGGGGGGGGTGTTTGTTTTGTTTTTAAGGTCTGCACCTTTCCCCAACTCGTCCCTCAACCATTGTGCCCTTAAGTATCTTTTGAATTACCCCCTAATTTCCTGAGGTTATGTCCTTAACCTGTGAGGTTTGGTGTCCGTGCGCCCGCATTGCAGGACCCTGCCCGTGGAGAAAATGGTTCATTCTCGTCCTCATCCCTTTTCCAGCCTTGCTATTGTGCGCCAGTGATTGACAAGACCACGAGGCTGAGCTCGCCCAGGAGATTTTTCTATAAATGGCTTAAAACCCTGGTCTAGACTATTCGCTCCGATGTAAGGGGGACAATCACCTTCTTGTTCTTTGCTGGTGAACCCTGGCTCTGTAGGGCGAACCTGGAATTTAACCAGTCTGCCCTAAGCTAGCGGTGGAGGACGAAAACAGCTGCGTCCTCCTGAAAGGGTGAAAGTGAAGGGCAGCACTCCCAGGACGCTCTCCTTTGGGGCTGGTGCCCGGGTGCTTGATCTTCCTCCTGTTTGCTTGGGTACCTGAGCGGAGCACGCGGTGTGATGGTGAGTGATACTGATTACCCCAGGCCACAGTTTACCCACCTGGTTTTACTTAATGAATTTAATTCTTCTTTAAGGACTGCAGTAACGGATGCTCCCCAGAATGTACCGGAGCAGCGGGATCAAAAGAGACGGTGGGGACTTTCAAGGTAAGGTTATTTGCTCAAGGTTAAGTGCTACAACAATTAACTGAATAAATCTATTTCTTGTTGAGATTTGGGGCAATTTCACGGTGTGGATTTTACAGTAGTTTAGATATGCTGCCATGCATTTTAGATTCCACTGGGGGGGGTCATTTGGGGAGCAGTAATATCTTCATATCTAAAATTACCTAGCAGTTAATTACTTATTTCATGAATCATAACTTTTTCTTGAAAAAGAACTAATTTGTAAATATTCATCTAGATAGAGGTTTATCTGATTGTCTAAGTATAACCTTTCACTATGCTTGTGGAAAAAGTTACACTTGTCATTTTTCTCTTTAAACCAACACCTAACATTTTACAGTAAATGTGTTGTATTTCCCTACCTACTCTCTGAATTATGGGGTTTGTATATTAAATAATCTCATAACTTCCCAGGCAAATAGTGAGGAGCAAATGAGGAACAATCTTGTAAAAGCACTTTGAAAATCATAAAAATACAAATATAAGGTGTATTATTATTTTCTTTATAAATTATCATCTCCACTGCACCCCACCAACCATGGAGGTTTTTGCTTCCTCTCTTTATGTCTCCTGCCTATTTGTCACTCACTGTCAATTGTCATCCATAGCACAGAGTGTCCTCATGATCTCACATCCTGGCAGGGTTCAGAGAGGGAGTGGAAACTTGACTCATCAATTTAACACACACCCAGCTCTTACTGTGTGCTAAGCATTGGAAATCTGAAGATAAATTCAAGATAAGGTCTCTGCTGTCAGGATTAAAAAAAAAAAAAAAAATAGAATATCGTAATTTCTTTACAAAAATAAGCTTGTGAATTTTTTGTGTCCATAATACTCCTGGTCCTTTAAAGATCATATCCTCTGTAACCTTATAGCTGATCTAATCTACTCTGCTAACCTGTTAAGACTAAGTTCTAATACATTTGGAGACTTAAATATATTGAGATATTGGGTCCTAGGAAAAATGAGATAAAACAGACTCCTATTTGATAATCTCTCAGAGTCCTTTTATATAGTAGGTAAATTCCTCAAAGGGTATATAGATGAATGTGATTTTTTTTCTCAAAATTTCTTTATATTTTTATACATAGAGAATTTTTGCTAAGTTAAAATTAATTCATAATGTAAATAATCTATTTGCTGAATTCAGATTTCTATATATTATGTTTTAGTTAAGGGGGAGGTGTGCTGACATTCTACATTGGTATTTATATATTAAAACATGGGTTGTTAATGGTGGTTGTATTCACAGTGCATATGTGATGAGGCAAATGAAAAATGAAATTGATAATTTTGGGAGAAAAATGGTGGGTTTTATAAGACCATTTTTGCTTTTGACAAAAAGCAAAAATATTTTTCTATCTCTTTTTTATTTACTCCATTTGTATTTTTAAATTGCCTTTTGGATTTCTCATTTGTATCTCCTCCCCTCATTTTGATGCAGTCATTTTATTTATTTTTTATTTTTTTAATATGAAATTTATTGTCAAATTGGTTTCAATACAACACCCAGTGCTCATCCCAACAGGTGCCCTCCTCAATGCCCATCACCCATCCTCCCCACTCTCCCACCCCCTGTCAACCCTCAGTTTGTTCTCAGTTTTAAAGTGAGGATCCAGTTTCCCAACAAAGCCCAGAAATAAGATGCCTTATTACAGAATCTTTCTATGGACTCCAGAGTCATCTTTGTTTCAAAGAAATCCGCTGTTTCTTCCACTTTCCCCTGCTTTATTCATCTCCACAGAATGTGACACTCGAAATCTGTAATTCTGCTCTTCGTACCTTTCTATTAGGTTTTAAAAGAGGGTCTCTAAAAGATCATGAACATAGCACCTAAAGCTTTCGAAGTAGAGTAAGAAAAGTGCACTTATTGTAGAACAAAGTTGTACAATTTCTGATACACTTGTAAGGCTGAGATAGCTCTTAAACATTACGTGTTGTGTCCAATGCAGAGAACAGCTCCAATACTGAGCAATGAAGAAGAGATGTTGCTAGAATGCTGGCTAATACAGCCCTCAGGTGCAACCAGGTTGCATTTGCCTCTTACGGGCTTCCCCATTTCAGAGCAAATACTTACCCAAGCGTGGCTTTGAGTTAGGAACTCATTGTTTTTTTAATATGCTTTGTTTTTGTCAATATTTGCCATTTCACAGTCCAGTCCTTGTGGCCTTGCCTTTCAAATTCTTCCTCAGGCATAATATGGCCTGAAGTCATCAGAGAACATGGAGCATTGGAAAGGGACAGATTAATTATGCAGGAGAGAGTATCACTTAACAAATATTTTTCTTTTTTATCCATCTTTAGAAAGTAAATGTAAAGTTTCTAAAGAACACTGATAAAAACTGTTTGCAAAATTTCTTTTATGCCAAAAATTTTTTCACTGCCTTAGACTTGATTTCATATCTACTCAAAACCAGTCACAAACCTTCAGCTAATATTGTTTACTTTAGAATTTCATTCAGTGTCCAATTAGGATATTTAATATTCTTAGGTAATTTCTCTTAGAGCTCAGGTTAAAAGCTGTTATTTTAGTTTCCAGAATTGCAGAAAATTTTTTAAAGGAAGGAAAATAGACTTCTTGATGAAATTCTGAAAGCACTAAGTTGTGCATTACTTTGAAAAACTGTATATTGGGCAATCCTTCTTTACAAATTAGAAAGTTAGAGGGTTGCTGTTCATATCATTAATAAATCACATCTTATAGGGGCGCCTGGGTGGCTCAGTCGGTTAAGTGTCCGACTTCGGCTCAGTTCATGATCTCATGGTTCATGGGCTCAAGCGTTGCGTCGGGCTCTGTGCTGACAGCTCAGAGCCTGGAGCCCCCTTCAGATTCTGTCTCCCTCTCTCTATATACCTCCTCCACTCACACTCTGTTTCTCTCTCTCTCTCAAAAATAAATAAATATTTTTTAAAAATCGCATCTTATAAAAGGATGTAGCGGCCTATGAAAATAAGACTTATAATTTAATCATTTGTATTCAGCTTCCAGAAACTTAATTAGTAGTATCAAGTTATAATTACAGGAGCACTAAGTCGAGCATAAAACCACCTATTCTATATCTTTGCCATTAACTAGCTTGATCTCACAGGGCCAGTGGATCACTATGGGTGGTCCTAGAGATATTTTAAGGAGAGTTCAGAAAAGTAAAAATTATATACTATGCTATGCTCATTCTTTTTTTTTTTTTTTTTTAAGAGAGAGATAGAGCATGAGCAGGGGAGGGACAGAGAGAGGAGACACCAAACTGGAAGTGGGCTCCAGGCTCCACGTTGTCAGCACAGAGCCTGATGCGGGGCTCAAACTCACAAACAGTGAGATCGTGACCTGAGCCGAAGTCCAAGGTTTAACCACTGAGCCACCCAGGAGCCCCTAGATTATGATAATTCTTAAAGTTGGTTCTTTAAGGATCTGTAGTAACAAAAAAGGTCTTTTAGTAAGAATTTTATAAAGTCTACAGCAGTCTGTTGTGTTGAAATACATTAAACCATGAAGATCAATCCATGTTTAGTGAAATTTAGAACAGAATTATTAGTACATATTTGATGTGTATAGTAGTTACTGTGCTAAATGAGAGTCCAACATAATCCAAAGCAATGACTGCCTTTTCCAAATGTTCAAATTGGCTAAAAGATTTTAGAGCCAAACCAAACATTTTGGGAGCTGGGATGTCTATCTGTGTAGAGGGATTGTGTGAGCAACTGCTAGGCAGTTTGAAAAGCTGAGGATACCCCCAGACTGCTGGACCAGATGGGGTGCTACAGTTTCCATACTTCCTGCTGGAGTAAAAGAGAAGAGAGTTTGGATAAACTGGCTGCACCACATGTCCAGTGTTACAGATGGAGGAAATGATGGGAAGAAAAAGAGGTAAAGGTGGGAGGACATCTGTAGCCAGGTTTTAGTCCTTCCTGTTAAACTATGGCATATAACCAAGAATGCTTAAGGGCTGGTCAGTTTTCAGGCACTGAGGAGACCCCAAATACAGCCCCCCTGTGTTCCTTGTTAACAGATTGTGTTTGCAGTTCTCCGACCAGCCCTGCTAGGCTCCCTTGCAACTTGATAGATCAGTGTGATACATTTCTGACCAGTAAGGCATATGGAAATTCCTGGAGAAATGTTGCTTTTGTGATCAAAAGGAATACACTTGTCTCCTCTTATCCTTTTCCTCCCCTATCTTTGGACCTTCATGAGATCATTAAAGCTGAAGCTACAGCTATAAGCAGCTCTTCTTTGACCCTGAGGAGAAGGCTAAGAAAATCACAGGGCCTTGAGATGATGGGGTTCTGTCGGACTTGGCTCTTTCAGACTTAACGTGAGAAAACCAACTCCTGTTTGTGTTTTACTTACTTGCAGCTGAATGCATTCCTAAGTGATAAGTAAAAGGTTAATGCAGGACATTAGTGAGAGGTAGAACTGAAAAAAGAAGTTAGTGCCATACTTGGGATACTTAATTTTGCAGCTAAAATATTTGGCCTTAAATCTATAGCCATTTAGGTATTCAGTGCACATTGAAAATTATGATCAAGCATGTGATTATGTTCAGAGAGATTACAAGGAAGAGATACAGAATATTTGCTACTGAGGGGGTAATAGAAATTGAGGAATCAGACTTCTTAAAGAGATTCTTGAAATTACAAGCGTCTCTATTACTGAAAGGGGGAACCGAGGGTTGGGAGAATGTTGTGAGAATGATAAATTACCTCGAAAGGAATGAAGATGTAAAGAAAATACAGGAAAAAATACACAATGAATTTGTTAATGGAGGTCCTGTCTGGGAAGTGGGAATGTGGTGGCCAGGGTACTAGTTGAGAATTTGACACTTTTCATTTTTCTTCCCTTTACAGTAGAAATTTAAAGTAGTAAACATGCATTACTCTTACTAAATGAATTAAGGATTAAGAAGTAAAGAAGTAGAACATAATATATCAGAAATAGGGACCAACTTTTGGAGGAAATAGGTGTTCCATTTTAGATACGTTCAGTGTGAGATAACCAAGGTCCTGGGATTACAAAATAATGTACAGATTTTGATAAGAATTCACAAATGAGACTTGAATCTCTGAAGTGGTTCTCAGCCCTTCCAGTCTTAGCAGCCAGTGTTGGGAACCCTCACTCTTCAGGTTGCTGAAATCTGTGTGTGTGTCCAAGCAGGCTTTGTACTGTTGGCACAGAGCCTGACTTGGGGCTAGAACTCACGAACCGTGAGATCATGATCTGAGCTGAAATCAAAAGTCGGACGCTCAGCCAACTGAGCCACCTAAGTGCCCCCAGATTGCTGAAATCTTCAAGGGAGACAGTGTGGTATGGTTCTGAGCCCAGAGTGCACAGTTAGAATCACTTGGGTAAGTTCAAACAAAGAACGCTTCCCCTGCTCTATCCCAAAGATTCTGTTTCAGTTCTGGAATGGAGTGTGGATTAGTGTTTTTAAAAAGCTCCATAGTTGAATTCAATGTGTATCTGGGGTTGAGGATCCCTGATGCAGAGGAGGAAATGTAGAGGCTCAAAGAAAAAACTCAGTGTTACCCGGATTCTTGTGTTTTACCACTGCCAAACTATCTTTCTCCCCCTTCCTGTTTTGCTCCTTCATACTTTTGGAACAAGAAATAAAAGCATGGAAGCCATGTGTCTAGTATTATCCCTGATGGCTACTTCAGATTGCCCAGAATAAAGAGGTAAACTGGGGTTACTTTAATTGCTAGCAGCCTCTATGGTGAAGATTCTTGGGGATATAAGGAAGATGGCGTACAGTCTTACCTGCACAGAGCCAGAACCCATGCAGAATTGGAATGTTAGTCAGTGTACCATGGAGTAACTAGTTCTCTTGGCTCACCCCTTCCCCCACTCCAGCAGCCACAGTGCCTCCATGACGTCTTCTGCCACTCCATTTCCCCTACATTTCCTGAATTCCTGCCACACTGAGTCTTTCCTGTTCCTTGAATATGCCAAGTCTAGTTCCTACCACAGAATCTTGGCCCTTGCTTCCTCTTACTCAAATATTTTGCCTCTGGATATCTACATGGCCTACTTCCTTCTTCATTCAAGTCTTTGCTTAAAGGATGCCTCATTAGGAAGGTCATTCTCAACGCTGCTACCAAAAATAAGCATTTTCTTCTCCCACTCTGTCCTTTTAAGCAGCTTTCATTTTCTTCATAGCGCTAATCACCTCCTGACCTCTCTTCACTTATTTCTTTATACTGTTTTTCCTGCTCTAAGACAACAGGATTTTACTTGTTTTATTCCCTGAGATTCCTTTGGGCCTGTAGCAATACAGGTACACAGTAGCTCAACAGATATTAGGCTGAATGAATGCGTAATACTTGCTCACAGTGGCTACTGCCTGTCCGTGGCTGACTGTGAGCTTGCCTGAGAAGGAGGGGCTGGGCCACAGGCATCTTTGCATCTGTTGTGCTTGCTTATTTATTTATTTTTGAGAGAGAGCAACACAAGCCTGGGAGAGACAGAGAGTGAGGGGGACAGAGGATCTGAAGCGGGCTCTGAGCTGACAGCAGAGAGCCTGACGTGGGGCTCGAACTCGCAAGCTGTGAGATCATGACCTGAGCAGAGTCGGCTGCTCAACCACCTGAGCCACCCAGGTGCCCCTCTCTTGTGCTTATTTAGTGCAGTGCCTGAACCATTGTGCTGATTCAGTCAGTGTTCACTGAGTGAATAAAAAAGGCAAAATACTAAGAATAATAAAGCATATAAGGAAGAAAGAGGAACCATGGGAAAGAGAAATAAAAAACAACCCTACAGTTGTTTGATATGAGGCCATAGTCTTGTTTTTAAATATTATGTAGATTGTTATTGATATAAAGTATACATTCCATTGCTTATATTGATTTCATGGCAGGTGGGGTTGTTTGTTGGAGAGCTTAGAAATCCTGTAAGGTGTAAGGATCATGTGTAGTTGATATCTTATTGATTAGCTCATTAGAATTGTTTAGCTAATGATAGAAATAACTTGGAACGTGATCTTTATTTTACTTTTGAAGAACCATGCAAAGCACTGGTTCTGTCACTTGGGGTGGAGGAAGAAGCTAAGGTCTGCTGTCTTTACAATGTTGAAGATGTACCCTGAACTCAGCAAGTAGGAAAATCTCTCTCCTACTCACACTCCCATCTCCATTTGTACCTATTCTCCTCTTTCTGTTTTGGGTCTTACTACCCTCTCCTGTTATTAAGAAATTTTTATATGTAGTTTAAATTTTTTTTTTTTTTACATTTTTATTTATTTTTGAGAGACAGAGACAGAGCACAAGTGGGGGAGGGGCAGAGAGAGAATGAGACACAGATCCGAAGCAGGCTCCAGGCTCTGAGCTGTCAGCACAGAGCCCGGTACGGGGCTCGAACTCACAAACTGTGAGATCGTGACCTGAGCCGAAGTCGAACGCTTAACCGACTGAGCCACCCAGGCGCCCTTATATGTAGTTTTAATAGGTGAAAATTTGCATTGTTTGTGTTACCATATTGATATGGTTAAAGATTTTTCTTAGTCTAGGACTAAGAAAAGCCACTAAAAAAAAAAGCTAACTTAAAGCAAAGTCATATGTGCTTCATTGTTCAAGAACACTGTGACACCGTTCATGTAATGAAAAGTTTGTGAGAATTTTACTCACTTTAAATCCTAACCATCTTCTGTGAATAAGTCTGACATTCATCAGGGAGTACATCTGAAGTCAGCCGGATGTTATTTTCAGTTATTTGAGAAAATTTGTACTGTATTGAGTGTGAAGCACTGAGTTAGGGCTGGAGATTTAACTGGGGTATCTACTCAGAGTTCTTGTCTAAACAGTCTAGAGGGACTGACAAACTTTTTTTTCCCCCCAAAGTTTTATTTACTTATTTTGGGAGAGAGGGAGAGGGAGAGAGAATCCCAATCAGTCTTTGAACTGTCAGCACAGAGCCTAATGAGGGACTCAATCTCAGGAACTGTGAGATCATGACCTGAGTCCAAATCAAGAGTTGGGTGCTCAACTGACTGAGCCACTCAGGTGCCCCACTGGCAAACTTTTTTAATAGGTCAGATAATAAATATTTAGGTTTGAGGACCATAAGGTGTCTGTCACTGTTAGTGGACTGTGCCATCATTGAAGGTAAAGGGACAGTGTGATTGTGTTCCAATAAAACTTTATTTACAAAGAGGCCAGAAGCCTGAATTTAGCCTGTAGGTGAAATTTGTCCAACATTCTACCTGGTCTAGAGGATAGGAGAGAAATGGGATTCAAGGATCCAAACAATTTAGCTCGATTGTATCTCTTTAAATAAATTCTTTTTTTTTCTTTTCTTTCTTTTTTTTTTTTTTTTTTTTGCACTTTTAATAGTAAAGTTTTAAGATCTAATTTACTTTTTGACTTTTAGTTCTGTCATTGGTGGTAGAAAAGGTCATCACTACCACTAATTTAACTTGTTTGGCATCTTCCAAAGTAGCATTCATCACAAGACTAACCTGAAAATTACAATAATGTGTTGTCTTTAGTGCCTTAGGCTTCACTGTAATGTGAGCTTTGTGGTTATTTTAGAATAACATTCACCCTGGATGTTATTCTAAAAATAAAACTGATTATCATTCATAGTCTGTCAAATGACTAAGACATGTGTAAGACAGTGAATTAATCAGAAGCAACTAGATCATTTTATTTTATTTTTTTTTTTTAACATTTATTCATTATTTTGAAACGGGCAGCACAGGGGGAGAGGGACAGAGGGGGGAGACATACAGAATCGGCTCCAGGCTCCAAAGCTGTCCTTCAGAGCCTGATCGAGGGGCACCAGAACTCATGAATGCGTATTGACTATGAGCAAAATTAGGACTCAACCGACTATGAGCACAGGCGCTACAACTGGATCATTTTAAATATAAAGAACCAAGAAGCCTCAATTAGGAAGAGTAATGACTCTTGGGGTTGTGAAAGTTAGAACTATGTTGGGTGTAGAGATTACTTAAAAGAATAAATAAATTAAAACTTAAAAAAAAAATTTAAAAAATATAAGGATAAGAGCTGATGATCTAAAGGGAAGTTCTATACTTGATTTTGGGAGCAGTGTATACATTTGTGTATTAAGCGAGTTTGACCTTCTTTAGGAAGTCAAATCTGTCCCTCGTTTAATATTGTCTTTTAATTGGTCAAAAAGCTCCTTCCCCTGTGGTTTTTGTCAGCAGTCTTCAGCCCTTGCGAAGTTAGTGATGGGACTGCGATTCGGGCACGGATGTATTTGGCCATTTGTAATGGGCAAGCTGGCTATGTGCAGATTTAGTAAAATGCTGCTGTGTGAACTTGTTACCTATTACTCCTAATTTATCCTTCTTTCAATAAGAGGTCCTTTGTTCACTGTTTCAGCACAGAATAGAGGATTTATATCTTGGTGTTCATTCTCTACATCTCTGTTTTCAAAGAGGAAAACATTTGCTTTCCTCTGCTCATTTCTTCTATAATGCACCCAGGGGGTTTTGAAGGCTTATGCCAAGAATTCTTGGAGGGAGTTGGAGTACAACCATCGCCAAGAGGTTCAGTTCTTAATGACTTTAATTTTAGTTTAACAAATTGTCATGAGTGTTGCTGTTTTTGTCGTAGAAGACACCCCTTACCTCTTTCCTGAATGCTCAGTATGGTGAGAGTGAAGAAGGGAGGTGTTCTTGACTTTTTCCATCATTTTACACCATCTGCTCTTTTGTCCTCATTTCTAAGTATCATTGAATTTGGTTCTGATACTTATTAGGCAGTGTATTGTGCAGAGATTTCAAGCAACAAGCCAAATTCTGAATGCAGGCATGATTTATTTGGCTCACATAGTATTGTTAAATTTCTGAGTTAGTTGACAGCACTTAAATGTCAAATGATTTCACTTTTTAGTGGCCAGTGACTTAAATTTCATTTGTCTTTTGATTTTCTGTATCATCATGCCAGTGGATGTTCAATAACTTTTCTTTAATGGTGCTGATTTTTCTTCCCTAGGCTAAAGATCTAATAATCACACCAGCCACCGTTTTAAAGGAAAAACCAGACCCAGCGACTCTGGTTTTTGGAAGTATTTTCACGGATCACATGTTGACCGTGGAGTGGTCCTCAGAGTTTGGATGGGATAAACCACATATCAAGCCGCTTCAGAACCTATCATTGCATCCTGGCTCATCAGCTTTCCATTATGCAGTGGAAGTAAGTACATGGGAAGCAATGAGGGTGACTTATTAGATCTTCACTGTGAGTACACGGTAGCTCTTCCTGCTCAAATAGCTTGTGGGCAGTATAGGCTTTATCATATTTACTCAAGGAAGTCATAAATGTCTTTAAAGCTTTCCCAATAGGCAGTTAAATTGAAGGTAAGTCTTAAGGACCAATTTTTCAGATAATTTGGAATTTTCCATAATGTCAATGAAGAAATTATTTACAGCAAATACAAGGACAGTAGGTAAGAGAATTAGCAATAAAAAATCTGGTACTGTTACTATTTTACTAAGTCATTTCTAAGATCTTCTAATGACTGAGAAGGTGTTATTGAGTACAATATAATGGTTACATTTTAATGCTAACTGCATGTTTTTATGACCGGCATTAATGTGTAGTTATATGTGTTAAGAGACATGTAATTAAATGTCATTCTTCAGGCATGAGTAGAATAATTGTAAGCATAAAATATTAAATATTTGGAGAATGCTTTCTCTGGTCCTTGTTAGGATACACTCTTAGATTCACAATAGACTCCTCATTCCCTTGACCCTCATTTTGTTTTACTCATTTTTACTGTGTTGGACATCTTTCCCAGAATATTAGAATCCTGGAAATAAGCAGTGGCCTACCTATTAAGGGACTAAAAGATGGTACTAGTAGATATTTATAACAATAATGATAAAATTAGTTTTGTTTATTAAATTCCAGTAATGTGCTCTGAACCTTATATGGGTCATCTCATTTAATAGTGAGAAAACATAGTTAAATATTCAGGTCAGTCATCTGGCTCCGGGAATTCGGTCTCTGTTGTTCCATAGGGAACTCTTTGACTTGGGAAGCTTATTTAAAATCACTTTGTGCTTCCAATTTCTTTACCTATAAAATTGAAGTAGTGATAATACCTACTTCATAGTGCTATTATAAGGTTAAGGTAAGGTAATTTAAGCATACACACTCATGCCTGGTGCAGAAGGAGAGCCCAGTCCTTACCTACTATTTTTAACCCTTAAATCAGCATTATCATCTATTGTAGAAGCAGGTTCAGAAAAGTTAAGTTTCTTGGCCAAGGTTACACAATATTAAGGGAAAAGACAGGGTACAAATGCTCACTTCTGCTTTCTGCGATATCACTCCTAAATGCATACACTAAAATTATGAAGAGGCCTGTCCAATTAACTTATTCAAAATTATAAATTTGAACAATTTGGAAACCTGTTCAATGCCCAGTGTATCCACTAGATGTTGAACTTGAAGGTCTTCAGTTTCCATTCCCATCTCTGTGTCTGAACTGTCTTAGCTTGGATGAATTCTTTGATTATTTGAACACTCCAAGCCTCCATTTCTTCAACTATAAAATAAATAAGCATGGTAGCTGCCCTTCCCTGTGTCATAGGGCATCTAAATAGATTTCCAACAAGTTTTCAAATGCCAGTGGCTATCAGAATATTTTTTAGCTTTCAAAAATCACAGTAATCCCTTCTCATGTACTTCCCATAGGCCACTGGTTCTCCAAGTGTGGTCCCTAGAGCAACAGCATTAATGTGGCCTGGGAGTTTGGTAGAAATCAGAAACTCTGAGGGTGGACATGTACTGTGTTTGAGACCACTGCCCTCAGATTTGCCATATTCCTTTCAGATTTTTAAGCATTTCCTTTATTTGCTCTTTATTATGACCTCTGTCATGTATGTATGGGTCTGCTTCTGGATCTCATTTTTCATTGCACTGTCTTATCTATTCTATTCTGTTCTTTTGTTTTGTTTGTCTGTCTGCATAAATGCCACACTGTCTTGATGTCTGCCTGGGAAAAGTCCTTCTATTTTGCCTTTCAAGAGTGTCTTGGATGTTCTTGGCCCTTTGCTTTTCCATATAACTTTTTTTTTAAATTAATTTATTTATTTTTGAGAGGCAGAGAGAGAGAGACCAAGAGTGAATGGGGAGGGGCAGAGAGAGAGGGAGACACAGAATCCAAAGAAGGCTCCAGGCTCTGAGCTGTCAGCACAGAGCCCGATGCGGGGCCCGAACTCACGGACCATGAGATCATGACCTGAGCTGAAGTCAGATGCTCAACCGACTGAGCCAGCCAGGCGCCCCTTCCATATAACTTTTAAATTTAGTTTATCAAGTCAATCAACTTTTATAGCTTAGTTTGTTAAAAAGAAAATAAAACTCCCTGACTTGTTTTGTTCATTTGGGTTACACTGGATATATAAATTGATTTGGGAGAATCAACATCTTTATAATATTCAGTCTTTGGATCTGTGAGTGTGAGATTGCTTTCTGCATTTAGTTAGGTCTCTAGTGACTTGATAAAGTTTTATATTGTCTTTATGGGTCTTTGCTTCTTTTGGGCACGCCCCCCCCCCATAGTCCTCTCTTAATTCTATCATAAATAGTGTTTTTATTTTCTAACTGCTGCTGTTACATAAGAATATAATTTTGTATTTGGTTACCTCATCTAAGGAAATACATTTCAAAAGAATATGTTGATTTGTGCTGGTTTTCTACATATTTATTCTTACCTCTGTTTCATGATCTATGAGAGTATTTATTTATTTATTTATTTATTTATGAGAGACAGAGCACAAGTCGGGGAGGGGCAGAGAGAGAATGAGACACAGAATCCGAAGCAGGCTCTAGGCTCTGAGCTGTCAGCACAGAGCCCGGCACGGGGCTTGAACCCACAGACCATGAGATCATGACTTGAGCCAAAGTCGGACGCTTAACCGACTGAGCCACCCAAGCACTCCTTTTTTCTATTCAGTCTAATACTTTTTATTTATTTTTGCCTTATTGTAGTTGCATATAGTTGCATAGTATTGAATTAAAGTAGTTACAGCGGGCAATTTGTGATGTCCCCACTCTGAAAAGAAAAGCTTTGGATTTTATCAATATGATGTTTGGTTCAAGTTCATTGGAGATATTTTTTTTTTTAATTTTTTTAGTTCATTTATTCATTTTGAGAGAGAGTGTGAGTGTGGGAGGGTCAGAGAGAGACAGAGAGAATCCCAAGCAGGCTCTGCACCATCAGCACAGAGCCTGATGTGGGGCTTGAACTCACAAACTGTAAGATCATGACCTGAGCTGAAACCAAGTCAGACACTTAATCGACTGAGCCACCCAGGCGCCCCACATTGTAGATATTCTTTATCACTTAACAAAGTTTCCTTCTTAGTTACTTGGGAGGCTTTTTTTAAAGAGTCTCAAATGAGGGGCGCATGGGTGGTTCAGTGGGTTAAGCATCCCACTTTGGCTCAGGTCATGATCTCATAGTTCTGTGGATTTGAGTCTTGTGTCGGGCTCTGCGCTGACAGCTCAGAGCCTAGAGCCTGCTTTGGATTTGGTGTCTCCCTCTCTCTGCCCCTCCCCTGCTCATGCTCTGTCTCTCTCTCAAAAATAAATAAATGTTAAAAAGAATATTAAAAAATAAAAGCCTCAAATGAATGTTTAATTTTGTCAGATACATTTACTATATCTAATGAGATGATTATATAGTTTTTTTTTCTACCTAAGCTATTAATATAATGAATCTCATGTTTTCTTATGTTACATCAACTTCTGTTCCTGGGATAAATCCAACTTTTTCATGCTATGTTATCCTTTTGTATATTTTACATCTGTTACTTTTAATGAGATTATCATATAATCTTTATATATATTTGAACCTATATCAGGTGCAAACAATTTTAATTTTTAAGTTTATTTATTTTGAGATAGAAAGTGCAAGCAGGAGAGGGGCAGAAAGAGAGAGAGAGAGAGAGAGAGAGAGAGAGAGAGAGAGAGAATCCCAAGCAGGCTCTGCACCCTCAGTGCAGAGCCCCATGTGGAACTCGAACGCCTGAACTGTGAGATCGTGACCTGAGCTGAAATCCAGAGTCGGATACTTAACCAACTGAGCCACCCAGGCACCTCAGGTGCATATAATTTTTAAATTGTAAGGTAAATGGAATCCTGTGACATTACCTTTGAATTAAAGTTTATTTTGTTTTGCATTTACTAATATAACCTCACCAGCTTTACTTTAAAAAAAATTTTTTTTTTTACATTTATTAATTTTTAATAGAGAGAGACAGAGCACAAGTTGGAGAGGGGCAGAGAGAGGAGACACGGAATCTGAAGCAGGCTCCAGGCTCCGAGCTGTCAGCACAGAGCCTGACGCAGGGCTCGAACTCACAAACTGTGGGATCATGACCTGAGCCGAAGTCGGACGCTTAACTGACTAAGCCACCAGGTGCCCTAGACCACCAGCTTTACTTTATTTATTTAATTAAAAAAAATTTTTTTAATGTTTTTTATTTATTTTTGAGGCAGAGAGAGACAGAGTATGAGCAGGAGAGGGGCAGAGAGAGAGGGAGACACAGAATGGAAGCAGGCTCTAGGCTCTGAGCTGTCAGCACAGAGCCCGACCCGGGGCTCGAACTCACAAACCAAGAGATCATGACCTGAGCCAAAGTCGGATACTTAACTGACTGAGCCACCCAGGCGCCTCCACCAACTTTAGCCAGAATTTGTATGACATAATTATTTTTATGTCTTTTTGTCTCATGTGTGTTTCAGATGTTATCAGCTGAGTCCAATCTGACAACTTTATCTTTTAACTGAAGCTTTAGTCCTATTACATTTAATAAGTTACTCACATATTTGTACCTAAATCTCATTTAGTGCTTTTACATTGTGCTGCATGATGTAGACTTCTTTTCTCATGTAAGCTCTAAGGCTATAAGCTTCTAAAGGCCCAACTATCATTCAGTTCAAATTTTCTGATTTCCTTAATTTTTCTTCCTTGACTCATACTTTAGTAAATGAGTTTCTTCTTTTCAAAATGTTGACATTCTGCGGCTGTATTTCTGATACTGATTTCTGATGTAAGGTTGGGAAATATGTGAAAAGAACATGCATTCTGCAGGTGGTGTGTGCAGGGCTCTGTGTATCCACTAGGCTAGTTTATTTTTCCTGTTCTTCAAATCTTCCATATCTTTACCGAATTTCAGCCTGTTTGTTCTGTCAGTTATTTAGAGAACCAGTGTTAAAATTTCCCACTAAAATTATTGATTTTTCTCTTTTCTGTGTGTATCAGTATACACCTACTCTTTAAATTATTATTAAGTATAATTTATTGTCAAATTGGTTTCCATACAACACCCAGTGCTCATCCTAACAGGTGCCCTCCTCAATGCCCATCACCCACTTTCCCCCCTCCCCCCCCCCCATCAACCCTCAGTTCTCAGTATTAAGAGTCTCTTATGGTTAGTATGCACCTACTTCAAAGGTTTTTAACATCCCTGCCCAGTGGTTTGTCTGGGCGCCATTGTGAGAAAGGTGCCATGGCCCTAACACAGGATGGTCTTGAGCTGCTTGGGTTCTATGATTTGGGAGACTAAACCAACCCTGGTCACATCTAGATTATTTACTATCCAGAGTTTGAATGAGCCCGATTAAATGAAAGGATGCATGGGTGTTTAGGGCAGCAGGGTACCATGGGTTCTTTGCCTCCATTTTCATTGTCTGGATAGTTTGCCATGTTTTGTGATTGGAGATGTTTTCTTCCCACCTACATTGAGGTGTTATTTAGTAATATGGCTCCTAGGTAAGGGATATCTTTGACTTCCTACCAGATTTTTGGTACTCAAAGAGTTCTTTTTCTTTTCTTTTTTTTTTTTTCCTTAAAGAAGTTCTTTTTAGCCCAGCTACTCTAACCAGCCTGTCAACTGCTGGCTTTTTCTAGATTTAGAGATCTTTGGTCTAAGTCAACAACTTTACACGATGAAGAAGATGAGCGCCAATGGAAAAGTCAGTCTTTTAAACACAGATTATTTTCATTAATGATTCCCTAAGATTTATTTCTCTTTTATCTTTAGTTATTTGAAGGATTGAAGGCATTTCGAGGAGTAGATAATAAAATTCGACTCTTTCGGCCAAACCTCAACATGGATAGAATGTACCGATCTGCTATGAGGGCCACTTTGCCGGTATGTGAGTGGATTTAGGAGTTTCTTGTATGTTTCTTTCTTTTAATGTAATGGGTCATTGTGAATTTACCACGGAATAAATCATTTCTGAATGTAGCTGACCCTTGAGCAATGCAGGGGTCAGGGGAACTGGCCCCCACGTGGTTGAAAATCTGTTTGTAACTTAGACTCCCCAAAAACTTGACGAAGAGCCTACTGTTGACTGGAAACCTTACCAAAACATAAACACTTGATTAACACATATTTTTTATGTTGTGTGTATTATATACTTAATTCTTGCAATAAAGTAAGCTAGAGAAAAGGAAATGTTACTAAGAAAATCATAAGGAAGAGAAAATACATTTACAGTACTGAATTATATTTATTAAAAAAAAAAATCAATCTACATGCAAGTGCACCCGTGCGATTTAAACCCATGTTGTTCAAGAGTCAACTGTACTTAGATTGATATACAGTACAAACATGTGAACACTGAAGTTACTTCTGATCTACTTTGTAATCAGTGAGGTAAAAATTAGTAATTCCAGAGTCTATTTTTTGTGAGTGTCTGTGGGGGATTAATATGTATGTAGGAGATAATAGGATAAGGAAGAAAAATGTACCTCAAACTAAAATAAATAAAATTTGAAGACCTTATGAAATTATAATATGTGAAATGGAAAATATGGTGTGCCACACAGATATTTTGGGAGTATCTTGCCTAATTGCTTTGGGCAATAGCAAGTTTGCAGTGACTTATTTTGATATTTTACCCCAAGCTTTATTATTTTTTTTAAATGATATCAAAATGGTTTGTCATAGCCATTGGTTCCTGTCTAGAACATTGTTAAAGAGCAGAATTCATTATACAGTGGGTTGGATTTAGATTATAAGGCTCATATCAAGGTAGGACGTGTCTTAGATTACTTCCCTTGCCTGAGACGTGACCAGGCTGCCTTTCTGAGCTGAAGAAGCTGTTTTCTTCTTTTACATATTCTGTGTATCTAACTTTCAGGAACCTAGCCCAAGCTCCACTTTTGAAGAAGCCCAAGTAACCACTCCTTTTTAGCCAGGTTCTTCCCTTTCCTTCCTACTTTTGTAACCCATGCTGCACCTACCTCCTTCAGAGGCCATAATATAGTACCAGAAGGGAAATTACAGTGAATTTTTTGAACTTGTTTAATTCTTGTGCCATTACAAACTACCAGGAAATACTTTAAAGTGGGGACAGGAGGAAAGGGACGTAACATCTCTTGGACCTCAGCTCTACCACAAACTGTGTTTGATGGTTTTACATTCTTTGCCTGTTGAATCATAACAGTAAGCCATTTCCAAGAAGGTGTATGTTGTACATTTTAGTAGCACTTTTGTACTAGAAGAAAATTCGAGCCCTAAGAGGTTAAATGACTCGCCTTAAGTCACAGAGTAAAGGGACATGGCAAGAAACTGGGTGCCAATCTATTTAATTCCTGGTCAAGTTCTCTTTCCACTAAATCTTATCGCTAGACAACGGTACCAGAGATGCCTACAGGTGATGCAGGGTGATGATATGTCCTATATGATGGACAATCCTGATTTCTATAATATTGTGCTGTGATTCCTGGTTCTAAGTTCCAATTTAAATAGCCAATTCTTGATGTCATGGGTTTTGTTCACATGCGTGTTTCTGACTCATTTCAGTCTTGGATAACCCATCACATACATTTCTGACAGTATGTTTCTCTGCCCTGTTGAGTGAGTAGAAATTACTTATTTTACATACTGTCACCTATCTAGTACATGAAAACCTTTTTCTCCTTAGAAATAAACCCTTTGCCTTTGCCCATTTTCCTGTTGGGTCATCTGTGTCTTTCTTACTGATTTTCAGAATATCTTAACATATTCAAGTTATGATCCTTGGTTGGTTATGTGTTATGAATAACTTTACCCAATTTGTTGCTTCTTACATCTTCTAAAGAACAGAAATCATTAAGTTTTAAATAGCCAAATTATACCCATTTTTTTCCTTTATGATTTGTGCTTTATATCTCTGATTTAGGAATTCTTGTCTACCTTTAGGAGACACAGGTATTTTAAAATTTTTACTCCATAAAAGTCTTAATGTATTTAACAAAAGTCTTATCGTATTTAACTATATAATCCAACTCTAGTTGATATTAGCTACAGTAAGAGGTAGGGATCCAACATTTTATCTCCTCCATATGGATAATCCATCATGCCATCACAATTTTGGTGGAAAAAAAAACACAGAAAAAAAATTCTTGTCTGGTTTTATTATTACTGCTTTTTTTTTTTTTTTTTAACAGTCTAAAGCTTTCGTGAGGATCATTTCTTATTGCTCCAGTGGAAGAAAATCCCATTATTCATTATGCTTTACATTCCTTCAGGTATTTGACAAGGAAGAGCTTTTAGAGTGCATTCAACAGCTTGTGAAACTGGATCAAGAATGGGTCCCCTATTCAACAACTGCTAGTCTCTATATTCGTCCTACATTCATTGGAACTGAGGTACAAACTGACTCCTGTTTTGGGGTACTTCGGTAGACAAGTTATCATTGTTTATTCTTGTGTGAAACTTCTAGCATATAGCTTGAAAGGGCCACCAGCCACATCATAAATGACTCCTTTCTCCTGATTATCAAGATTAGGTGTTGGCAAACATTTATTTAAAGGACCGGATGGTAAATATATGAGGCTTTGTGGGCCATTTGGTTTCTGTCACAACTACTTGATTCCACCATTGTGGCACAGAAGCAGCAGCCACAGTTACCAACGTAGATGAGCAATGAACAGGGCTGTTTGCCTTCCTTTAATCAAGATTAACCAAATACTGATTTCCTCAGTATTTTTCTGAGTTTCCTCAGAGGCATTCCTCAGTGTCATGTCTCGTCTTGGCAGTAGTTTTCCAAGGTCGAAGTGGTAATGGTTTTGAAATTTGGAGAAGGAAGAGCTGCTGCTTCTTATTTTCATTTTCCTGAAGTCTTGAGATTACTAAGGATTGGGAGTGGAAGGCCCTCTTCCCTCACAGGAAATGTTGAAAATAAAGTTCACAATGGGAGGGTTAGAACTTGAGAGTAGTAGCTTTAAACAGCATGGCTGTAAGATCTGCTGGTGAGCCACACTCTACTGGCTGAGGCCCTTGCAAAAGGACATGCCTGGAAAGGCTAAGGCTGTTTGTGTGGGTTGAGTATGTTCTATAAAGACCCTCTCACTTGTCTCCTTCCTCTTAGAGTGATTGATACGAAGGGATAATTGATGGGTGGGGGAGATTGAGTGTGGGTAGCATATGGAGATCTTTAGGAATAGAGAGGAAACATAATGCTTTTACTATAGTCTAGCCATTCTGTTCTCTACTAAGTAATTGTAAGCTTACCAAGTTCTCTACTATGCCATCTGGATGCAAGAAGTAGGGAAATAGAAGGCCATAGAATAAATACCTAAATGGTCTTTTGACACCCTCTTGATGCCTTTGAAAGACTATTAAGAATCTAGATAATGAACTTCATGAACTGTAGTCTCCCTAGCAAACTTGAAAGAATTGGGACAATTTAAAAAATGATCTGCTCCTTATGTCTCTGGCATTTTAATATTAATGAACTTTTAATCTATTTTATATTTTTGTTTATATAATTTTATTTTTTTAGTTTTTTATATTATTTAACTTTAGGATAGGAAGAAGCAATTTTTAATGTTTGTTGAAACATTTTTACTAATCTGGAAGCACTCTCTTCCCGTTATCCTGAAGTAGTTTCCCACTGTAAGATCTAATTCTTCTATTCCGAGTTTGTTGAGAATTTTTGTAACAAATGGATGTTGGATTTTGTTGAATGATTTTTCTATATGTCTTGACATGATTGTGATCTTGTTCTTCATTCTATAATTATAGTGTATTCATTTTTTGGTTTTAAAACAACCTTCCATTCCTGGACTAAATCCTACTTGGTTATGGTGAATAATTATATCTTGTATTCAGTTTGCAAGTATTTTGTTAAGAATGTATGTCAATGCTCCTAAAAGGTATTGGTCTGTAGTTTTCTAGCGTAATTAGTTCTGTGATTTAGCAAATTGTTTAGAGTCCCGGAATCCTATAATCTAGAGTTAGACCAGCTTTTAAATCTGATTTTATAGTCTAGCCTGTTGTCACAATAATCCCCTCTATTGGCAGTCTTCAACTTTTTGTATTTGAATTGCCCAAGTATTTTTTAAAATATATGTATTGACTCCCATCCCCAGAGATTTTCATTGAGTAAATCAGAATGGTAATTCTGATGCCTGCCCGTATTTAAGAATCTTGGTGACAAAAGCCATGCCAAGTAGTTCTCTTCCACTCTGCCAGCTTACATATTTGATCATGCCTTGGGCCTCAGAGTCAAGAATTTTTAAAAATCTGCTTTATAAGCAATAGGGTAAGAATTGAAGGAAATAATTGATATCATTTGATGTGTCAACATTATTTATATTTGGTTGGTATATTTATATCAACTAGAACTTTTCTAATGGTGTAGGCAGAAAAAAGATCACCTATAATTCAGAAATGAGCATAATACAAATAATAAAACATGGATTTAGGCATTTGTACTCTACACAGATGTTATATAATCTAGTCTGGTAATTATCATGCACTGTCTTTTCATGGTGGTTGCATTAATAAGTGAAGTATTGGCTGGAGTATTGGCTTAGTCTCAATGACTTCTGGTTCACTGGGATTACTTCATCAGAGATGACTAACTTTTGCTGCCCTTTTTACGTTACTTGGTTTTGTGAGGGTTCTGTCTTGTCACTGGCTTCACAGAATAATTGTGGGCTCAACCTCCATATCAGTTATCTGATGTTTGGTCTTATCTACTGCTGGCTGAAATCCATTTTTTTTTCATGTTCTTTTCATGAGTAGATTAACTGATTAAGGCAGTCTTCGATCAAAAAGGTATTTTGATTTCTTTGAATGAGCAAATATATGTTGGGGTCATTTATTAAGTGATATCACCCCCTAGTCGATCTCTATTCCCAGGTATGATATTCCCTTATGTGTATAGAATATTCAGTGTTGAACAACAAATTTATTTGTATTGAGCTCCAGCCCAGATCCAAATAATCTAAATCTGTGGAGCCAGGATCAGAGACTCTGCATTTAAACAAACTCTCCAGGGATTTCTTAACTACTTTAAAGAGTATCACCATCTCAAACCTTGTGAAAGAATTAAGCATATGTCTGGCAGTCTTGAATGCTTTATTTGCTCCAGGGATTGTAAACTGGCACCAGGTAGAAATATTTATATCTTTGAAAGCTCAGTGTCATCCCAAGGGCAGGGTGTTGTTATCACTTTCAGGGGCCATGATATAACATTCAAATATTAATCATTCCTTCTCATGCCTAGTACAATTTGGTAGCTGCCATGTACTGAGACAGTGACTCTAATACCAACTTCTGAATTTCATTATATTTGCAATATGGTGCTTCTTTACATGTTTTATAATTAACTGACCCTTCATTTTTACCAATTTTCATAGGTAATACCTATGTATGAATGTATTTGTACAATTTGTCATATGTCTTCTGGCCTTTGATAATAATTGGATCCATTATTAAAATCCTTTTAGGTTTAGGATTGTAATAAACAGGAAAGTATTTTATTGGAACATTTATAATCAGCTAGTAATAATGTAACCAGTGAGTAGAGATTGCCAATAAAAAAATGCCAGGCTGCCAGTGGGTAGAAATTAAAAAAAAATTTTTTTCTATAAGGTTCATATTATTAAACAAAATACTAAACTGAATACATAAACCTTTTGTAACAGGCTTAAATTAGAGAGTAAAATCATTCATGTTACCAAAAGATTTTTCAGGGGTGCCTGGGTAGCTCAGGCGGTTGAGTGTCCAATTCTCAATCTCAGCTCAGGTCTTGATCTCGGGGTCGTGAGTTGAAGCCCATCATTGGGCTCCATGCTGCACCTGAAGCCTACTGTATTTATTTATTTCTTAAGTGTTTGTTTGTTTATATATTTATTTACAGAGGGAGAATGTGACCAGGGGAGGGGCAGAGAGAGAATCCCACGCAGGTTCCACACTGTCAGCACAGAGCCCAGTGCAGGGCTCGATCTCACCAACCATGAGATCATGACCTCAGCAGAAATCAAGTCAGACACTCAACCAACTGAACCACCTAGGTGTCCCCTGAAGCCTACTTAAAAAAAAAAAAAATTTCAGCATCCCTTTAATATCTTCTGAAGTATTTATAGGTAATTAAAGAGAAGCTAAAAGCTGTAGAATGCTTCTGACCACAGCTGATTATGTGTCAATTAGAATTTAAGATAAAATCTGAAATTGTAATATTTAAATAAAGAACATTTACATGAACAGTTTCTAAATTTTCACTTTACCAGACAAGAAGCAAAAATTATATGACTGTCAGGTTCAGTACCGGATACCGAACATTACATCTAAAAAAGCTGAGTTTCGCTGATTTTAACATGTTTTATCAAACTTCACTCTCTTTGGTAACTCCAGGCAGGTGCAGCTATATGAACGTACAAACAGACACAGGCTTTATTTTGTCAGTGATTCTAAGTGTCCAGGTGATTTGACCATAGTCTGTAGCAAAATACGCACAGCCACGAACTCTGGAATCCTCGTGTATGGTCATGGCTCTCAGCCTTTCACTTTCCAGTTTCTCTCAGTGCCATCTCATCTCACTGGAGGCAGCACTGCATAATAGCAGGGCTGAGAAGCAGTGTCACAGGAAGGGTCGGGTCTGATGGTTAAGAGTCAGCTCACCCAGCCCCTTTGACCAGGTCTCAGGCTGACTGCCACAGATGTGTAAGCTACCAGCAGACTGGACTTTTTTTCAGCTGTACTCCAAGATCGACTGACCTTCGCTCATGTGGAGGTTGATGAATTCCTCATATTCAGTTAACTCCTACTTCTGCATTCAGAGTGCCCCTAAATAAATTTCTGCGCTTGAGCTCAACTAGAGAGGCAGTCTGCTTTTGGTCAATTCCAGCCTCAGATGCACAGAACACAATCTGAACAGTGCAGAGCATTTTCAGTCACTTCACATAAAACACTCTCCCCATCCACAACTTCTGGAAATCTGTCAGTATGACATTCTCATTAGAGCTCACATTTACAAAACTCCTGCTGCCAAATGGTCCACTCCTTGATTTCTGGTTCACTGCATAGGGAGCTTAAGGACATAAATTTCGTAGACATGTCTTTCTTTTCCTTTTATCACCTTGTAAAATCTTTATATCACCCATATAATGTAACCTATAATCATAACAGTTCCCGTGAAAAGAATTCCCTTTATTCACTGCCTTTATTTATGCTTATACATCTTCTATCTTCCCATCTTTTCTCTTCATTCTGTAGCCTCTATAGATGAAAGAATCTGAACAGATTTGACAACTAGTTACAGCAGCAATTAGTGATCGTTAACTTGGGTTTTGTCTACACTTTAATTTTTGTAATGTTTATTTTTGAGAGAAGGAGAGAGTGAGCAAGCGGGGGATAG